CTCCTCCTTGCACACCGCCAACAAGCCACTGGCAACAGAGGGCCACCAGACAGAACCCCAGAGGCCCTCCATACATACACATATTTCAAGTCCGCAGCCTCCGAGCACCCCAGCCTCGCATCGCACACAAGCACAGCTCACGCATCGGAATGCCAACCACCGGCCCCCCCCTCTTTTGTCGCGCCGCCAACGACCGCTGGCAGCACGGGGCCAGCAGACGAGGCCCCATGGACCCCGCATACGTGCGCGACCTCGCAGACCTACAGCCCCCGAGCACCCCAAAAGCTCCCCGTACATGCGCTGATAAATACCGGAGTGCCAGCCACCAGGCCCCTGCCTCTTCGACGACAGGCCCCTGGCAGCATGGGGCCACCATGCATGGACCCCGGGGACCCCGTATGTACACACGTACATACATACGAGCTCTGGGGCAATTTTGGGGCCGTCTTCAGGCCTCGGGGGCCCTCGGGGGTGAGAAGGCGAGAAGCAACGAACATTGATTTCCTTTTAGGCGTTCGGACCATTTGGGCCTCCTCTGCCCCTCCTTTGGGAAAGCGTGCTCGCTGAGCGGCGCCGCCCTCGCCAGCCTGTCGTCTGCGTCGCTATTAATTCCGGCGCATCCCCTCTCCTTCGTAGTCGCATAGGCTCAGACGGCTCATGTTCTCTGGCTTCCGCGAGCTTGCTTCCGGGGCGTGGCAAATCCCTGGCTCCGCAAGTGCGTTGCTCACAGGCCTGCACTTCCGTCGCGCGCGCCCCGTGCTTTGTGCTGGCGACGGCGGCTAACCCTCGCAAGTGCACAGACGACCCGCTGGTCGTGGCCGACCCGGCGCCTCAGAACTGCAATGCCCCCGCTGTGGTCTCGACCTCCCATGTGGGCGTTTCAGCGACAGTCAAATCAAACGGGCGGCTCGAATATGCATCACTTGCACAGCGAGCGCCCCCCAAACATCTGACCAGACACGCCCCCGACCGGAAACGACATGCGCCCAGCGCGGCCTCGCAGTACCCAGTGGCGCGCCTGCCTAGGACCAACGGTTTTCAGCAGGAGTTTGCCGGGGGCGCGCCACGAGCGGGCGCCCGCCCCATGACGACCAGCCCATCGTGGCCGGCGACGTGGCTCGGAGTTGCCCGCGCTGTTCAACGCGCCTTCTCCCTTGCGAGCCGTTCACATTCTGCTGCAACAATGGCAAATGGGCCGTTCCCTTTGCCGAGTTTTTCCCTTTGCCTTCCCCTGCTCTTCTGGGCGCGTTCCAATCCACGTGGCCTGCCATCGATGCGAAAGGACATCCCCTCCACGACGCCGCTACGCGCGCGCGCCCCGCCTCGCGGGCTTCGCGGCCGTCAGCCGCCGCCACAGCAACTTATCTGCTTTGGCAGTCCACGAAATTAAGAGCGCTGGTCCCACGAAGGAGCAACGATTCGGCAATTACTCACGGCCTTCCACCTTCCAATGTGCGCATACATGGCATCATGCACCGACGCCTATTCTCAGCGCAAGATTCCACCGCAGTGCGGCACCTGTTGTCGATCCTCAAGAGCGGGCCCGGCAGGCTGCAACGCTACACCTCGATGCGCAACTCCTCCGGCGTCTTGGACGCATCCTCTTGCCCATCAACCCGTTCATGACCGAAGTCAAGCGCCTCGGCGCAATCGGGCGCCCAGGCCCCGACGCAGCTGCCCACCTAAAATGGGGCCCTGGCATCAACGAGATCGCCCCCATCGCGGACGCCCGCGACGATGGTCGCGCGGAGCCAAGCGCCGTGACATTCCGGCTGCACTCCACGAGCGCGCCTCGATATCTCCACCCCTTGCACCCCTTCCACGAGCCATTGTCGCGCCCGTTGTGGTTTCCCGCCGGAGGGCGAGGCTGGGGCCCAGATGCAATTGTTAACGGCGTTCGCATCAGTCAAATGTGGCGGCGCCGCCAGCGCCTGCTTCGCTCGGCCCACGTGCGCGCGCGCGGGCGACTGCTCAACGAATGGCTCGTCAACATGCGCTGCCGGATGGAGGGCGAACGCCTCAGTTTACTTCGCCGAGAACAACCGACGACGCGAGCGCCCCGACGTGACCAATGCGAGACCCTTGCTAACAGTCCTGCCCAACCTGCCGCGGGCGTCTGGATTGTTCTTCCTTCCAGCCCCCCTGGCCCCCCATCGCCGCCCCCGACGACTCCGCATTGACTCTCTGGAACTCGCTCGCCGCAAGGGGCCGCCCACGTTCTTCATCGCGCTCGCATGCAATCCGTACTGACCAGAGATGCAGGCCGCCCTTTTGCCGGGGCAATCGGCTGCTGACCGACCTGGCGTTGTGGCCCGAGTCTTCCGCGCCAGACTATTGGAAATAATCGCGTTCTTCAAGAATGACTTCAGCGGACGCCGACGGTGCATCATTCGCGCGATTGAATGCCAGATGCGTGGCTTGCCTCATGCGCATATCGCCCTCGCCGTCGACAACCCTCCGTGCAGCGCAGACGAGATTGACGAACTGATCTCATGCGAGGTCCCTGCCACACCAGGCCCACTACGTGACTGCGCCCTTCCCCGCATGATTCATCGATGCAATCCATCCTGCCACCCGAACGACCCCGATCAGGAGTGCATCGAAGGTTGTCCTTGGCCGTTCCAGGACTCCACTGAGATCGACGCGCGAGGCTGCCCGCATCATCGCAGGCGCCCGTGCAAGGGCACTTGCCCGAACTGCCAGTCCAATGGCCCTGCCTGCGGCCGCCGCAACGCACATGCGACCGGGCCCTTTCGAACGAAGAAATCCGCGGCTGCATGTCGCAGCGGGGGAAGGCGGGCGCCGACCCCATGGTTGGACTCGTCGGCATGCGTTTTCCGCCCCTGGCACATGCACAACGTTTGGTCTCTGAGATGACGAATGCGCGCCTCGCCCACGAGCGACGACGTCAGCTGCCCTTCGCGAGTTTGCAAGTGGCTTGCGACTTGGTTTCTTTGGAACTCGTTCGGATTGGCGACAAGTGCGCCTCATGCCCCCTCACCGCGGGCTCTGACGAGGGCGTCGAGCGTGCGGGGGGGACGCGCAGCGACATGAGCCTTTTTATCGAACAAGTTGCTACTTCGGCCAGTCTCGCGCCGATGCAATGCCAAACCAGATTGCGCGAATGCAATAAATACATAAAAATGTCTGCCGGCGCAAAGCCCCTCAAATTGTATAAACCTCACGCTCGAACGTTCTCTCGCGTGCGTGCTTGGAACATTGCCCTTGGATAGCATGTTCTCTTTGTTACACATTGCGTCCTTACTGTCCCGGCGCTCTTCTCCACCTCAGCCGATAGCGTTTCTCTGGGCCACTAGCGCGATATACAACCGTGGGATGGGTATATCCGTTGGTTTCTTAGTTGCCCCGGTGACAGACGCTGGCGGCACAACGCAAGACAGCCGGCAAGTGCGCGCGAGGGCGCTTGCGAAAAAAAAAACAAGGGGAGGAGGGGTATGAGGAGAGGAAGATCCAGACACAACGTGCTATCCAAAGGTTTCCCCCAGTGACCTCGCGACAGTTCGCGACGCCCACGAAGCGTGCGCAGCGACAGCTGTCAAACATAAGACCGGTCCTTCGGCCGGCCGGCCGGTCCCGAACTCAAAAACAAAGCCGTCGATGTAATGCAAAATTAAGCTCGCGCGTAACATTGTTTGCGCTTCTCCTGGACATCAGCGCCCCTCCAAAAAAATAGAAAAAACGCGACGGCCCGCGGCTCCGGCCTGCCGACGTGAACCAAAAAAGGGCCGTCGCCATGAACCAAAAATTGGCGACGAACCCGTCGATGTGATGCAAAATTGAGCTCGCGCCTGTCCTGCTCTGCGCCCCTCCCGGACACGCTGAGTCCAAACGAAACCACGCCCGCAACGAAACGGACACGATGAGTCCAAACGAAACCACGCCCAAACGAAACCACGACCACATCGACCACAAAAGGGCCCGTCGCCAAACCAAAAAATTGGTCACGACGCCGCGCCTGTCCTGCGCTGCGGCCTCCGGACATGTCCATCCCTACGAGAATCCGTGCCCACGACGGCCTCGCAGCTCCGGCTTGCCCACGTCGACCAACAAAACGCACCGTCGCCATGAACCAAGCATTGGTTACAAAGCCGTCGATGTGATGCAACCTTGAATTCGCCCCTGTCCTGCGCTGCGGCGTTTGGGCATGCTTTCCCGTACAAGACTCCACGACAACGTCGGCGACGCAGTTCCGGCTTGATTACGGAGTCCACACAGCGGGCCGCTGCCATGAACCAGAATCATTGGCTGAGCCTACTGACCTGGACTCCGCCCCGGGACACGCTGACTCCCGACGACAACGCCCGCCCGACGGCCCCGCGCTTTCGCCTTGCCCGCGAAAACCAACCGCCCGAAACAAAAACACCCAACGCCCCGCTCGAACCCTTCATGCACAAAAACACTTCTTTACATCAGCCACGAACGAATTCGCCTTTCGAGCTGCCCCCGTACCTTACCAAAGAAAACCATCTCAGAAGAAGCGTGGACGAGGCGACCGTAGCACAAAGCGCAGTGGCGAGAGAAACGACGGACAAAACGAAAACCCGCACCGCCATTATTTTTACCGCACTGGCGTACAAAGTCCGCGCGCCCGTGCTCAGGATGAGGATCAGGGACAAGATGTTGTGGAGAAGCGAAGCGAGCCAACAAGATCTTGTGTATATATATATATATGAACAGTTAGCGCACATAAGCAAACAAGCAAACGATACACAAAGAGAGAGAGAGAGAGAAAGAGAGAGAGAGAGCTGGATAGTGAGGAATATACCTATATCTATAGGTATAGATGCATAGTGATAGAGAGAAAGGGGTAGAAAGATAATGAGAGAGAGGGAGGAGGGGGACGAGGAAACGAGGGGAATGATGAGGAAGGAGGGAGGATGGAGGAGGAAGAGGAGGATGAGGAGAATGAAGAGGAGGTGGAGGAAGGAATAGAAGGCCCGCCGCCGACGACGAGGCAGGCGGAGGCGGAGCGGGGACGCCTCGAGCTCCACCTCGTACTTCTCAAGGATGGGCTTGAGCGCGTCCGGGTTCCTGCGCGGGGGGGGCCCGATCGGACGGCCGGGAGGCGGAGGGGGCGGGTGCGCCGCGCACGACGAGCATATCTCCTAAACCGTGCCCTCGCGGCCTGAATCCCGAAGCGCGATCCCGGGGCTGCGCGACGTCACGAACGACGAGCACAGGTACCCTTATCTCGGCGGCGAGCCCGGGGGGGAAGTGAGAAGGGGCGGGCCTTCTCAGAAGGCTCGGACGACCCCCGGCCTTCTGAGAAATTTTCTAGACCTTCCCCGAAGACACAGAGCACTTCTCAGAAAGCCGGAGGCCTTCGGAGAAGTTTCGCCACCTTCTGAGAAGGCCTTCTCATTCTCACTTCCCCCCCTCCCGGGCGTTGGCAGAACTGGGTTTAGTGGGACCTGGTTGAAAGATGTGTACCGGGGGGGCGCCCCCCCCGCCCCGTTCCAGTAACGGGAACTGCCGTCACCCGAAAAACACCAGCTACGGCAGACCTGGTTTAGTGATTCTGGCCAATTTAGGGGCTCCGCCGCCCTACCACTAACCGGGTCCCCTTACCTGGGGTCCTGGCTTTACCCGACCCTCGCTCGCCGCCGATTATCCGTGCCCGCGCGGCCTGGATCCTGTCGGCGCGACCCCAGGGCCACGCGACCCCACGGACGCCCTCCACGCCGGACATCCTCGCAGAGCCACCCCCCGCGTCCCACGGGGCCGCTCTTGCGAGACCTCCAGACCTCTCAGGCCGTGGACACGGATCGGGGAGACGTGGGCCTCCGCAGAAGAAGAAGAAACAACGCCATAAACATAAACTTTTAGCGTTCCGCGCGGATTTCTTCGATCTGCGCTGGGACCCCCTGGCGGCGCCTCCGGCGCCGCCCCTGGCGCGCTCCGCGCGCCAGGTAGGGGGGGTCCAACGCATATCCAAGAAATCCGCGCGAAGTGCCGAAAGTTTATGTGTATGCGTTTTTTCGTCTTCGACTCTGGTCATCGCTCGGACGTCTTTTCCTGAAGGGGCCCCAAGGACACACACAAAGAAAGCGGCACACATCCGAGGACTCCCCACATGCTCCAATATCTTCTGGAGTTTCGTCTTCCCTCCACGTCTCTTGATTTTCTCCATATGTTCATGGGAATCGACGTTTCATTGTGTCTGTTAAATTTTCCCTCCCTAAATTGTCCGTGCAATTTTCGATTCCGTGCGTGTGTGTTTTTTTTACGGGGTGGTCCAATATGCTCCTCGATGGTCCTCGCCGAGAAAAAAACGCACACGTCCGAGCGATGCCAAGAAGACTTGTGTTCGGGGGACTCAAGTGGGTCTGAGTCGTCAGGAACACTACGAGACCCAATTTTAAGCTTGACGCAAACACCTGCTGCAAGCACCCTACGGAAACTTGATCGTCAAAATGCAAGACGGGCCAATCAGAAACCGTAGACAAACCCGTCTTCCAGCGAACGCGAGTCTCGAGTCTTATACGCTTCTCAGAACGGATCTGTTTTAAGGAGCCCTGGGACACACAAATTCGCCGGCCCAACGGGCCAGAGGCGTGCTAAGATCTCTGGCAACTGCTTTTCAGTAATTCTACTTCGCGCGCGCGGGGCGGCCCCTGGGGGTCCCCGGACGAAAAGTACCCCGGGCAGGTCCCGGGCGACTGGGGTCAGAGATGGTTTTCCTCCTGGGCGGCGCCCTCGAGGCCGTCCAGAGAGCCCCAAGAAAGGCCAAGAGGGCGCCAAGAGCCCCTCAAGATGATACAAGAGAGCTCCGAGATGCCACAAGATGGCTCCAAGACGTCCAAGATGGCCTCCAGACGGCCTAACAGGCCTCCAAGAGCACTCTCAAGAGGGCCCCAAGAGGCAAAAATCATTGCTTCCTCAGGTTTGGGACATATTTTGGCGTTTCAGCTTTTTTGGCTTCCCAACACCCCAAGACGGCCCAAGAGGCCCCCCCAAAAACGCCCCAAGAGGGCCCAAGAGGCCCCCAAGAGGGCCCCAAGAGGGCCCAAGAGGGCCCAAGAGGGCCCAAGAGGCCTCCAAGACGGCCCAAAAAGGCCACAAGAACGCCCCAAGAGAGGTCCCAGGGGGGGAACACGAAACAACATTTCGAGCCCTCGGCCCTAAGAAGCCCCCAGGAATCCCCAAGAGGCCCCTAAGAGGCCCCAAGAGGCCCCCAACAGGCCCTCAGGAGGCCCCCAAGAGGCCCATCAGGAGGCCCCCAAGAGGCCCCCTCCCCAAATGCCCCCTCGAGCACGCAAGCATGTGCCAACGACCCGACGCGTTTAAGAGTCCCCAAGAGGCCACCAAGAGGCCCCCCGAAAAAGTCCCCATAGGCAAAACGCTTCAAGACGGCCCGCGACGCGTTCAAGACTCCCCCAGCGGCCACCAAGAAGCCTCACATGCCAAACCCAAAACCTGATAAACAAAAACAAAAAAACAAAAAACAAAAAAAAAAAAAAACGCCGCCCCTGCAGCTCCGCACAGCGAAAGACCATTCGGTCAGTCGACAACGGCGCGCAGTATGGGCCGGCGGAATGAGCGAAGCGATTCAATCAATAAACACAAATCCCAGGATCCCCCATCTGTTTCCATATTTTCTGGATTTTAGTCTTCCCCCCCATCCCATTGTCAATCTTTTCCCATATTTTCCGGGGAATCGACGATTCATGTCTGTGTTTTTTCCCCTCCTGAATGTTTCCCACCCGTGGCAGGCGGTGAGGAAGACGACGAGGATGTGACATGGGGAACGAGGCGATGAAATGTCTACGGCGACGGAGGCAACGGCCCCACGGCAATTCAAGTAGGGCGTCGCACATTGGAGACCATTACTTGGCGGCGCGCACAAGGGGGTGGAGGGAGGGGGGGGGGGTCTTAGAAGGAGGCTGCTTCTTAGAAGGCGCTGGCCTTACATCTATAGATAAGGCCCGCGCCTTCTAAGAACCAGGGGTGCTTCTAAGAAGTCCTCCTCCTCTCCCCACCCCCCTTTGGGCGTGGCTGCATTACTCGTGAGGCGGCAGCATGCCGATAAGCTGCCGGTTGCGCATGCTGACCTTCGGCGAGAGCATCTCGGCTTCGGCAGCCTTGGTCCCAGACTCTTCGAAGAACGCGATCAGCCTGACCTCCAAGCTGCGTCTGCGCAAGTCCGAGCCCTGAGCTATCGCGGCGGCGTGGAACACGCCTTGCGGTGCGCTCTGGTCGGAGTCGAAATCCTTCCTCAGGATCACCTCTCTGGGCTGCATGTCGGCATAGGCGTACCACCTGTGCGAATCCCGGCTGGCGAGGGTGAAATTCTCCCTGTCGCGGTCCTCGTGGCCAGCCACCAGATCGAAATGCATCCTCTCGCCGGCTTCGACGCTGCCGGGATCCAGCAGGCCCAGGGGAGCATGGAAGAGGAGACAAGGGCGCACGCATAAGCTTCTTGCAGCTCCTCCGTGGATTCCTGGGATCGGCGCGCTGGACCCCCCCTTCCTGGCGCGGAGCGCGCCAGGGGCGGCGCAAAGGGACGCCGCCAAGGGGAGGGGGCCAGCGCCGATCCGAGAACTCCGCGCGAGCCTCCGAACGCTCACGTCTGTGCCGCTCTCTCTCTCCTTCGAGGAGCGTGCGCCACGGCGCCCACGCCTCGCCACGCCGTGAGGAACGCGTGCCGGCCAGCGGCCAGCCGCTGGAGGCGGGCGTCGTCGACGCGCCCGCGGGCCGTGAGCGAGTACAGGCCGCCCTCGAGCAGCTGCGCCAGCCGCCGTGCCGCAGGCAGGAGAGCAGACCGGCGGCACGGCACGGTGAGGGCACCGGAGAGGAGGAGGCCTCAGGTATAGTCGGGCCGTGTCAGGAGGATGCGCGACGAGGCTGCAAGGGCCTCGGAAGGCCACTTCGAAGCTTTCCGAGCGGGCCGCGGCCGACGAAGGTGGCCAAGGGTGGACCGAGGAGGCAAGGATGCACAGGTCCCCTCAGGAAGGTTGCCCAATCTTGCTATGCGGGTTGACTGTAACGAGCCGAGCGGGGCCTGGCCACGGGTGCCACCGCCGCCTTCATCAGATGGGGAACTCTGAGGCCTCCTGGGCGCACAAGCCGCGGCATCGTTCCGAGACACGCGCGCCGCCAGAGCGCAAGCTGCGTCACGCCCGTTCCGCGCTGGCCTGGCTCGGTGTCACCAAGGGCTCCCAACTTCGCGCTTCGCGCTGCGCGAAGTGCGAACAACTTCGCGTTCTCGCGCCGCCTCCCAAGGGAGAAGAGGAGGATGAGGAATCGGAGCCGAATCGCGAAGCGCGAACAACTTCGCGCCCTCGAGGGCGCCCTTGGTCACCGAGGTCCAGGTGAAGTGAGGTGGGCAGTCCACCTCAGTTAGTAGGGAGCCCACAGAGGACGTGCGCGCCCAACCACGTACATGCACGCGACGCGAACCCCCAGTCAGTCCGCGAGACCAGCCGCATGACACGAACGTAGAAAAGAAAGACACACAGGCCATAAACATAAACTGTTGGCGCTCCGCGCGGATTTATTTGGATCTACGCTGGACGCACCTCCCTGGCGCGCGGAGCGCGCCAGCCGGGGAAGCTGCGTCAGGGGGCCCAGGCGCGGATCCAAGGAATCCGCGTGGAGCGCCACCAGTTTATGTTTGTGGCGTTTTCTCTTCTTCGAGCGGTACGAACGCTCGTGCAGTGCGTGGCTGCTCTCGGAACTAACGTGGACTCAAGTACGTCTACGTTTAGGTCGGGCATGTCCCCCTACAGGGGGATGTTTGACAAATTAGAAAACCCCAAACATACTCCAACATGGTTAAAAACTACTGGAACATTCTCCCGACTATGTTTTGACTATTTTTGAATATTCTTCATGCAGAGGGACAGGCCCGACTCAAGTCTACGTCCTCCTTTCGCTCCTGAGTTTTATAAGCAAGCGCGTTCCGCTACTCGCAAAACCACTACTCGCGAATGGCCTGGATCCGCGGTGAGGGATTTACGATATATTACACTGATGCGAACGCGTTTTTTTTTTTCCTGACGTCGGCGAGTAGGCACTTGGCGAGTAGTGGAACGCGCTCGGCGATCTTAGGGGGGTTGCAGCGAAGGCCTCCGCCCTGGCGCAGAGACTTCCCCGGCCGGGCCCGCGCGGCCTCCCGGGGGGGGGGGGTTCGGCACCTCAGCCCCCCCCCCCCCCCGGGGGCGGCCGCTGCCCCTCGGGGAGCGACGCGCGCTCTGGGGGGGCAAGGCTCCTGGTCGGGCGCTGGCTCCTGGCGGGGCGACTGAGAACTACTCTGCCGGACTGCTCCAGCCGACTCCGAAGACCCCAGTTTCAGGTCAGGCATGTCCTCCTACAGGCGGATTTTGGACGAAAAGGCAAGTCAAAAAATAGCCCCAAATAGTCCAAATTAGTTGAAAAATAGTCCCTAGACAATTGTTTGACTATTTGTGAATACTCTTCCTGTAGAAGGACGTAGAAAGACAGGCCCGATTTAACCCCAGTTTCGGGTTGGGGTGGGGGGCAATACGGGTTCAACAAGTATTTGTCAATCTTCCCCGACGCCCCCCTCCACTGGAACTGGAGGGCAAACTGGGACCTTCGGGTTGGGCTGGGGTGGCTTGGTTTAGGTCGGGAATGTCCCCCTACAGGCGTATTTAGGATGAAATATTGAAAATACCCACAAACAAGATTCAACAAACAAATTTAAAATGGTGAAGAACTCGTCCGCAAAAAGATTCCCCCTGTAGAGGGATAGGCCCGACTTAAGGCTTGGTGGGTGGTGAATAATTGGGGGGGAGGAGTGTGCACTTTTCCTGTCCCTCTTCGGCCCCAGGGGGTCCCTTCAGTCCCCTCGAAAACCGGGGGGGGGGTCACTAACGGTTCGAACCCCCCCCCCCCCCCCCCCCCCCCCCCAGTCCATCATGAAAAGGGGGGGGGTCACAACTGGTTCGAACCCCCCCGCCCCCCCCTCGAAAACCGGGGGGGGGGTCACTACCGGCTCGAACCCCCGCCCCCCCCTCGAAAACTGGGGGGGGTCCCTACCCCCCTCTCCGATGTTGGGACAGTGGTGGAAACGGTGGTGGTGGGGACAGGGGACAGTGGTGCGGGGACAGTGGGACAGTGGTGCGGACAGTGGTGGGGACGGTGGTGGTGGGGACAGTGGTGAGGGGACAGCGAGACAGTGGTGGGGACAGTGGGACAGTGGTGGGGACGGTAGTGGTGGGGACAGTGGTGAAGGCGGTGGTGCGGACAGTGGTGGGACAGTAGTACAGTGGGGAAAGTGGTGGGGACAGTGGGACAGTGATGGGGACAGCGGGGACGGTGGGACAGCAGTGGGACAGCGGCGGGGACAGTGGGACAGTGGTGGGAACAGTGGGGACAGTGGGACAGTGGTGGGGACCGTGGGGAAAGTGGGAAGAGTGAGGTTGTGGTGGGACAGTGGCGGGGAGAGTGGGGACAGTGAGACACTGGTGGGGGCGCTGGTGGGGACAGCGGGGACAGTGGTGAGAACAGTTGGGACAGTGGGACAGTGGTGGGGACGGTGGTGGTGGGGACATGTGGTGGAAACAGTGGGACAGTGGAGGGTACAGTGGCGGTGGCGACAGTGGTGAGGGCGGTGGCGAGGACGGCGGTAGGACAATGGGACAGAGGTACAGTAGGGACAGTGGTGGGGACAGTGGGAACAGTGGGGACAGTGGGACAGTGGTGGGGACGGTGGTGGTGGGGGACAGTGGTGTGGGGACAGTGGGAATGTGGTGGAAACAGTGGGACAGTGGAGGGTACAGTGGTGGTGGCGACAGTGGTGAGGGCGGTAACGAGGACAGCGGTGGGATAATGGGACAGAGGTACAGTAGGGACAGTGGTGGGGACAGTGGGGACAGTGGTGGAAACAGTGGGACAGCTCAGTGGGATAGCGGCGGGGACAGTGGGACAGTGGGACAGTGGGACAGTGGGGACAGTGGGACAATGGTTGGGGCCGTGGAGAAAGTGGGGAGTGGAACCGTGGTGGGAAGAGTGGTGGGGACAGTGGGGACAGTGCGACAGTGGTGGGCGCTCTGGTGAGGACAATGGTGACGGTGGTGGGAATAGTGGGGACAGTGGTACCTGGTGAGGACAGTGGTGCTGGGGACAGCAGTGGGGGATGTGGTGCGGACGGTGGTAGGGACCCAGAATTGTTTGCTGGCGGTGAGCGTGGGGTGGGGGGGGGAGGGGTTCGAACCGGTAGTGACCCCCCCCCGGCTTTCGAGGGGGGGGGTGGGGGGTTCGAACCGATAGTGACCCTCCCCGGTTTTCGAGGGGGTGGGGGGGAGGGGGTTCGAACCGGTAGTGACCCCGCCCTGGTTTTCGAGTGGGGGGGGGGATTCGAGCCGGTATACTGACCCCCCCGATTTTCCGGAGGGGAGGGGGGTCGAACCGGTAGTGACCCCTCTCTGGTTTTCTGGGGGGGGGGTTCGAGCCGGTAGTGACCCACTCAGTTTTCTGGAGAGGGGGGGGGTTAGGGGAGGGGGGGGGGGGTTGCCGGGGGTAGGAGGGGGGGTCCAGCAGAGAGGGGGGGATTTTCGAGGGGGGTGGGGGGGACCCCGGGTTCCAGAGGAAGAGGGGGGCGAATTTTCCACAGTAAAGCGGCGGTGGATCACGCTCTCTCTGATGTTCCAACCTACTTTAGCCTTGATCACCAGAAAGAATTTCGAGCACCAGAAAAGTACCGAAACTCAAACATTTTCACGTGTTGGGCCCTGGGAGACACTCGTCCGACACTGTTTCGACACTTTTCCGGGCGCTCGAAGTTAGTTCTGGGATGTGGTCCTGAAGTACGATGGGAGCAACATAACACAAGGGGTACACCTTTCTCCCCCCCATCAACGTTTCGCACCCGCAATGCTCGAAGCCCGATTTTTGTGGCTGCCAGAGCCATGCCGGACATCTGGCTGGTGTGCCCCTGCAGTCAGGCTGCTGTCACAGGGAGCATCACATGATCAACGAAGCCCTCTTGCTGCCCCAGTAGCGGCGGAAGTGGAACGGAGAAGGTGGAGAAGATCGGGCTCCAGACCGCATCAGCATCGGCCCCACTTGAGGGGCAATGAAGGGGGGGGGACGGCGCAGACGAGGGGGGGGAACATCGAGCTGAAATTGGCGATGCATCCAAGATAGATCGGCGAAAGGCCCCCGATAGCAACTCCGTATGTTCCTAGGCGGCCGCTCGGGAAGATCCAGGCACCCCCAGAGCGCCCTCGGCGTGGCGCAACTGCTGGAGAGCATCCCGAGACTGCAAAGCAGACGAAAACCCACGGAAGCGACCCAACGCCTCGGAACCTCGAACCTGACCCCCTCCCAACGCTGCCCTTGACGGGCCCTCGGACAGTGTGCCGATGCAGCCTTGTGCTCTCCTGGGCGGAGTCGGGGGTGTAGTCCGCGTGCACGCGCTGGACGGCCCCGGCGTGGCCCTCGGACGGTGGCGGCGGAGGAGCAACAAAACGGCACACGCGCAGACGTTCGGAGCTCCGCGCGCGTCTCTTGGGTCTGCGCTGGATCCCGCTCCCTGGCGCGGAGAGCGCGCCGGGGGCGGCGCCGGAGGCGCCGCCCCGGGGGGGGGGGGGGAGCAGGCGCCCGTCCACGACATCCGCGCGGAGCTCCGAAGGCTGATGTGTTCGCCAAGGCTCGAGCTAAACGGTGCTTTCCGTTTCGATTGTGCTTTCGCTTTCCCCCTCTTCTGTCCTCGTTCCGCCCTTGCCGCAAACGATTGCAAAACAACACCGGCCTGCGAACTCGCCAAAACAACGTTTAGCTCGCGCTCTGAGCTGTTGCTGTTGCCGTGTCTTGCTTCTCGAGGCAACTCGCGCAGGACTCGGTCGAACGCCAGCACGTGCGAGGCGCCCGTCGCCTCTGCGACGAGCTCGCGCAGCTCGCCGAAGCAGACCTTCACGACCTGCTCGTCGTCCCCGAAATCGTCGCACGCGGTGGGCGCCTCTCGCAGCTCGAAGCCGTCGGCCTCCAGCCGGAAGGGCGGGTCTCGGCACCGGGCATCTTTGGAGGAACGAGAACACGGGCACGAGCGTACACTTTCGGAGCTCCGCGCGGGTTTCTTGGATCGACACTGGGCCCCACGCCCTGGCGCTCGGAGCGTGCCAGGGCAGGGGCGGCGCCGGAGGCGCCGCCATGGGGGGCCCAGCGCCAATGCAAGGAATCCGAGCGGAGCCCCGAACATTTATGCTCATGTCGTTCTGTGTTCCTCTAAATCGTGGAGCTCCACCTCCCGGGGGTCTGGCCGGTCCACTAGGTCGGACTGAAAGTGGTGGGGCGGGACGACGTACTTGCCGACGCGGAAGCCCCTCGAGGGCTCCTGGCTAGGAGCGGCTAGGAGAAGGGAGAACGGCACGTGCATTATCTGCATCGTAGGCTCGCGCGGGTTGCTTGCGGGTCGGCGCTGGACCCACTCCCCACTGGCACGCGCAACGCGCCAATAGCGGTGCCGGAAGCGCCGCAGGGGGGATCCAAGGCCGACCCAAGAAACCCGCGAGGATCTTCGACAGTCTGAATCTGTTTGTGCAATCTCTCCCCATATGCTAAGATGGGGTTCTGGAAATTACTCAGACGCCTCCAGACCTACTCCCCCTCACACCTCACACCCTCTTCCTACTCCTCGGAGCCACTCACTCATACTGAGTCTCACTCATACTCAGGCTAACTCACGCTCAGACTCACTCGTACTCAGACTCACTCAGACTCACTCATATTCAGACTCACTCATATTCACATTCACTCGCACTCAGACTCACTCACACGCAATGCTCACCGCGATATAGCGGGCGTGGTATTTTGGCACCCCAAAGAGGATCCGCCAGGGGTGGGGACACTCCAGGATTCGCGCCCAAGTTGTTGGGATGTCTCAGGCGATTTTCCGACCTGCATGCGCAACATGTTTTGCTTTGGGAGAAATGTGTGAGGATGTCTCAGGCGAGGCGCTGGTTTCAACACTCCCAAGGGGTAGCCGCCAGAGTGGTGACACTCCAGAATTTGCGCCTAGATTGTGGGGATGTCTCAGGCGGTGTGCCTGTTTGCCTACGCAGCGTCCTCTGTTTTCGGAGCAGATTGTGAGGATGTCTCAGGCGAGGCGCTGGTTGCAGCACTCCCAAGGGGGAGCCGCCAGAGTGAGGACACTCCAGGATTCGCGCCCAGATTTGGGGGATGTCTCGGGCGACTTGCCTGTTTGCATGCGCAACGTCTTCTGTTTTCGGAGCAGTTTGTGAGGCGCTGGTTGCAGCACTCCCAAGGGGGAGCCGCCAGAGTGAGGACACTCCAGGATTCGCGCCCAGATTTTGGGGATGTCTCAGGCATTTTGCCGATTTGCATGCGCCACATCCTCTACTTTCGGAGCAGTTTGTAAATGTCTCAGGCGGGGCGCTGGTCTCTAGCGCCCCAAGGGGGAGCCTCCGGGGAGCATACCACGGACCCGTTCGCGCCCAGATTGCGGGGTTGTCTGAGGCGGAGCGCAGGTTCCAGCATCCCAAGGCGCCCAGATAGTGGGGACGTCTCAGGCGGTTTGCCTGCTTCGGTGTCAAATCCGCGTATAGTATGAGCTCAAACTCGCACTCAGACCACTACACTCAGACCACTTACGCTGACACTCAGACCAGTCAATCCTCACACTCAGATGCTCTCAGACCTCTCACTCCCAAAGTCACACTCAAACCACTCACACTCAGATACTCTCGTACATCTCACGCTCACACCCACACTCAGACTGTTCACATTCGCCCACACTCATGCGCATACTCACTCACACTCAGACTCACTCATAATCATAGTCATTCACACTCAGACTCACCTATTCCCAGATTATCATAATCACTCAGACCCGCTCATGTTTAGACTCTGTCGCCCGCAGACACTCCCAGCGGGAAATGTGCGGGCCAACGCGTGCACATCTGGGGATCTCCGCGTCGAGAAATTACCTTTTCGGCTCGCGGCGATCAACCTCGCGCCTCACCGCCCGATACAGCAGACACCACCTCCCGAAGGCTGGGAGAAACCTCCCGACCCCATCATCCCTGTGGGCCCGGGTCCCATGTCTGATGGTCCCAGGGCCACGGAAACATCGGCGCGAACCTCGGACAATATATATGTCTCTGGTGGTTTGTCCTTCGATCCTCCATCCCCGGAACTTCGCGCCACCCCGATGCGCACCACGCAACCTGTAGCGGTGTTGACACGCAGCTCAACACGTAGATCCAACACGTAGGCCTGGCGCGACATAGGAGGGAGGGAGGGAGGGAGGGGCGTGAGGGAGGGGGGAGGGGAGGAGGAGGAGGGAGGGGGGAGGGAGGGAGGGAGGAGGGGAAGAGGAGGGAGGAGGGAGGGAGGGAGGGAGGGAGGGAGGGAGGAGCGGCCAGGGCGGCGCGTGTTCGCCCAAACGCGGGCCACCACCTCAGGCCAGCACGCAGCGTGCTCGAGCGGACGCCTTGAGCCCCCGGCACGTGTCGCGCTTCAGCATGGGCGTCTCGAGGCAGCCGAGCTCCAGAAGTGCTCAACTGAAAATCGGGCCTGTCCCCCTACAGGAGGATTTTGGGCGAAAAACTAAAACATCAATTCTAAACATACTCACAACAACTACTCAAAAATGGTAGAAAAAGGGTCCCAACATGATTTTTGGACTATTTGTGAATATTCCTCCTGTAGAGGGACAAGCCCGACTGAATATTCTTTCTTGTCTCCTCCCGCCCTTCGGGGGGCCCTCGCGCGGGGTGCCTGCGCGAGCGCGAGGGCGGCGGAGGCGCGGGCACAGGCGCCTCAACCTTGCTCGGGAATCGGGGGCGCGCAAACATGGGTTAGCGATCCATGGATTCGGCGCGCGGTCGCCAAATCCATGGATCGGGGGAAGTGCCCTCCCCAAAATGCTGCGGGTGCCGCCTCCTTCGGCGGCGGAAATCCGCGATTGCCCATGGGAACGGGACCTGTCGCTAATCCACGCTCCCTTGATCCACATTTGCGATCGCCTGACAGAGCCCCTCTGGGAGAGGTCGAGCTTGCCCCCGAAGCGCTGCACCGCATCCCAGGATTGCTGAGCATCGTTGGGCCGGCCCCGACAGGCCTCGGGCAGAAATGGCGAGCACGCATGCCCCGTTCGGCGGTCCACGCCTCCCCCTCCCCCCAATGTTCGAAGTTGGCGGTGTGTCTGGTGAGTTCCACTTCGGCAGCAGTCTCCCCCCCGCGCGCGCCAACTGTGAGTCTGTGGGAGCGGGGGACTGCCGGCGGCGACGATAGGGGCGAATAGCCCAGGGGCGGGCATTACACGCATTCGCCCGGGAGCCTCTTCGAAGACATAGATCATCGGCGCACTTGGGTACACGTATTTGAAGGGAAACTGGGACACACAAATAAATACACACAAATAAAACAGATTCCCCATATTTTCCCATATTTTCTGGGTTTTTGTCTTCCCCCCCACTTCCCATATTTTCCAATATTTTCGGGGGAATCGACGATTAATTGTGTCTGTGTGAATTTTTCCCTCCTGAGTATTGCTCTCCCCTGGGCCTTTCGCCCCCATCGTCGCCTCTGAGAGTGTCCACTAGCTGTTTCCCCCTGCCGACCGACCGGAGGAGGAGG